CCCCCGCGGGGCCGGCCGCGCACTTGACCGGCCCCGGCTTCCTGGAGAGCGGAGCTCCCCCGTGTCCCCCAGCACAGAGCAAACACCGAGCTCCGGGCTCAAGGGCTTTCCCCTTCCTCCTGCCCCGGGTTCTGGTTGTTTTAGGTGTTGACTCTTGGCAGCCGTGCAGAGCCGGGCCCCTTGGAGTGCCCCCGCTGTCTGCTTGAGATCGTGACTCTGAATCAAGTGTCTCGGCCTGTCTGCAGCCTGTGCCGCTGTGTGCAATGTGCAGGAGTGCTCGTAGTGTGCAGGGAGATGCAGGGGAGCTTGGTGCCCCTAGGAAGGGCTCCCAGCTCTGCCCTTTGGAAAGCAGCAGGCGTTCAAAGGACAACCTTGCACGTGATTTCCCTGCCCAGTGCCAGGCTCGGATGGGACCCAGTAACCGCTCTCACGTCCCAACCCTTGTGCACCCGTCGGGGTGAGCAATGGGGCCTGCCCCAAAGCAGCACAACAGGCCCAGACACAGCAGCAGCAGCGAGGTGGGTGCAAGGCCGAATCACCGAGGTGCCACGGAGGCATGTCAGGAAATCAAGTGTAAATCGGAGAGGTCTTCTTGTGTAACGTGCTGGCTCTTAATTAACTTGGCTCTGCCACTTCCATTAGCCTATCTGATTGTGAAGATGCTGCTGTTTTACTGCATAATCGAGGACTTGAAATACAGCTCCCACCCACTGCCCTAGAACGATCCTCCCTTTGGGATGGGTGCGAAGACTTGGCTTTGCTTTTCCACTGCTAACAAAGCTCGCGTGGCAATTCTTTAAACTACCAGGAAACTTGTCTATTGGTGCGAGTCCCCTAAGACAGGGACTTATTTGCCCAGGCAGTGCTAGGTGGTGATAATGTGAATTAAGTGCATAGGCTAATGGCTTTCCAATAAATGCCACAGGTAGCCAAAGGCTCGACTAACCGGTACCGCACAGAACCGGCCGTGTGGGAACAGGAGGCTTAACCGCAAATCTCTCCTCTTCCCACAAATTCTTTCTTGCACCGCTCAGCATTTCCGGACCTGTTTAATCTTCAGGCTTATCCTGAGCTGGGTTGTTATTTGCTTGTTCGCTAAGTGGCTTTCACTTCCTAAATGCCGAGGTGAGGTGCGGGAGCAGGTAGTGCGGCCCCTCCGGTCCCTGTCCCGGATCTTTGCGGGTCTGACGCCGCTGGCTGAAGCAGTGAAGCTGGAACCATCCCATGTGTGTTTTGCCCCTGGCTAATGCCTCTCAGATGCATTTCATTGCATTGAAAATATGCATTTTCATATTGAACTGGCCTGTTTTACTGCCTGTTTTCCTTGAACTTTAACCATCCTCCCTGGAGTTAGCTCAAAGCCAAGTGTGTCTAATCACGTAGCTCTTTCTGGGAAGACTGGGCTCTGTCAGGTGCTGGATTTTGGGGCATTCCCATGGTTGGGTGCCGTCTGGAGACTGCTCGGCTTTTCCTGCTGTGTCTCCGCTTTGGAGATGCTCTCCCATGTGCCACGGGGCTGCAAGCTGCCTCCTGTACCTGTGTGCATTGCAGCGTCTGGCCTCTCTTCTTCCAGCCTGGTGTTCCTTCCAGCCTCATTCCCAAGCTTTGGACCGTAGCCAAGTCAAGTAGGAACCGGGACCTCCAGTGGAGCTTGCTTGCAATGTCAGAAATGTATTCTGGGCTCGTGTGATGTCAAGGGAAGACAGCACCTGGGATATTCCAAAGCAGCAAAGCCTCTTTTGATCTCCAGTAAGAGGAGAATCCTGGTCTCTTCCACTGTGGTTTGTAATCCATATTTCATGGAACATGAAATGCCACACTTGCAATCTGGAGCAGCTTGTAAAGTGCTGCCTGGGGTTGTAACTTAATGTGTCTTTCAGCAGCTGCTTAAAATACCTGTTCTGCCCCCAAAACTTTAATTAAAAGCTTTTTGACTTGGAAAATACTCTTGAATTCCCCACGATCCAGCGTGGGATTTTTTGGAGCTGTCTCCTGCAGGAGATTCTTCTCATGGGCATCAGTGAGGGAAGGGAAGGGTGCAGGGTCCTGACAGATGCCTGCAGCAGAGGTGCCTGAAGCTGCTGTCCCCATTGAGGAGCAGCTGGTGATGCTGTCCTTGTCTTGGAGCAGGGCTTCTCTCCAATGGGAAAGATTTTTCTGGAACAAAGCTGTCCCTGTGCATCCCGTCCTTTCCCTAGGGATGGGTTTTCCTTGGCAAGTGGCTTGCTTGCACTCCTTGGTGTGAGATGTGGATCCTGCCTATGTGGTACCACTCCCCATGGGTGAGGAGAGCCCTGGGCTCAAGCAGTGAGGAAATTCGGGAGCGCAGGGGCAGGTGCTCTGGCTGCAAGAGGCTTTGGGGCATTGCATGTGTTATGGAGGGTCTGGTAAGCAGGAGCTGAAGCAGAAATGGCTAAATTTTAACTTGCTAAACTAGCACGGAGGTCAGAAAAATTACACAGCTGTCGGGAAGGCCAAAGCCCTCTTGGTGCTGCTCTATGCAGCACCCTGGGCTACCCGAGGGCAAGGGAGGCTCTCGGCTGGGTCTCACCATGAGCATCGGGGCTGGCGGGTGCCCGTGGCCCCTCTCCCTGTTGCTGGGAGACCCGGTGCTCCGTCTCCTCCAGGATCCTTTTACGGGATTAATGCTGTTCTGCATTCTTGTCTGATACAAAAAAAAAAAAAAAGAGGTTCTGCTGGATTCAGTTGTAAATTCAGCCCTAGGAGTATATTGTCTCTCCCCAGCTCCTTTGAAAGAGGATTAGACGGCGTCTATTCTCCAGCACTAACTCTTCTTTCTCCTCCCCTTTCAATTTCCTTGTAAAGGATAACGTGAAAACCGCAGCGAAGCCGGCGGGGCGGCTGGGAGCGGCGCTGCACGGCGGGTCCTTAGCACCAGACTTTCCCTTACCTCTGTGCTCCGCATGCTCAGCTCCCTGAAATAAATATTTGCAGGGAAAACAACCTCTTTTCTCCTCTTTCGCTTTCACCAGCCCGAGAAGCTGTTGTCGTTATCTGCAAGTCCTGTGCGCAGGTTGCATTCCTGGCCCCGGCTCTCACCGCGGCTGCAAATAAACAAGGAGCAGGGCTGGACTGGGAGCCTGGCCACGGCCGCCCTCCCTCGTGTGCTGCAGAAACACTTGGAAACAGCGCAAATCCAATGCTAAAATTCCTTTTCACTGACATTGTTGCAGTGGGGACCTGATGCCCTGGCTTCAAGGGAGTGGGAATCTGGGCCCCAGCATGAGCCCCTTTCCCGGGAAAAGGTTGTGTTTCTGGCTCTGCAACGTGTTCCTGGGAAGCCTGGCACCGGCTCAGTCCCTGCGTGTGTCCCCCTGTGCAGGTGGCCATCAAGTCAATCCGCAAGGACAAGATCAAGGATGAGCAGGACCTCGTCCATATCCGCAGAGAGATCGAGATCATGTCGTCCCTCAATCACCCCCACATCATTGCCGTCCATGAAGGTGAGACCCCTTTCTGCCCTGGCAGCTTCTCCCTCGGCAGCTTCTCCCTCCTCAAAAAAAATAGAGAAAACATGGGATTGGGATGGCTCCTGTGTGAGAAAGGGGTATTTAGGAAGTGAGGAAGTGCTGGCAGTGGGAATCTCTGTGGCGGGAGCACATCTCCATGCTGGAGTCATCCTTTCCTCCGTGGGGCACACGCAACCCAAGCGTTGCTTCCACAGCAGCAAAGCCACGAGGGCAGGAGGGAGATTTCTGCCCTTCTAGCCTGGGAGCAAATATCCCGAGGGATCCGTCTCCGCTCAGGCTCGCGCCATGCCCGGCGGTGCATGCGGCCGTGCCGGGTTCTTGCCGCCTACGTGAGGTATCCAGAGGCCTTTTGTCCTCCAAACAAAGCGTGGCGTGGCGTGGCGCTCACCGTGTTTGCAGGGCTGAGTCACGCGCTCGCCGCCTCCACCGCGAGCACAGAGCTGCGAGCGGGAAGGAAACGCTCTGGCCTCGCTTGATCCTTGCAAAGCGCATGGAGAAAGTCCACCCTGGCTGTGCCAGCGGGACACGGGGTGCACGGGGCTTCCAGCAGCTTCACCCGCTAATTATAAAGCACGCGCTAATGAGAGCTTCCTTTGGAGAGCCTCATGCTGCCGGCGTCTCCTTGCAGTGTTTGAGAACAGCAGCAAGATCGTCATCGTGATGGAGTACGCCAGCAAAGGGGACCTGTACGACTACATCAGCGAGCGGCAGCGGCTCTCGGAGCAGGAGGCCCGGCATTTCTTCCGGCAGGTCGTCTCCGCCGTCTACTACTGCCACAAGGTGGGTGGGAGCCACCGACCCCGGCACCTTGATCCGAATGGAGCGGGTGGCTCCTGCTTGGCTGCGTTTGGGGAGGATGAATCCTACTTTGGGCTGAGCTGCTCCCAGAGCTTTGGCTCTGCCCAAAGCAGTCGGGGAGATATTGGCACTGGGAGCCTCCCTGGGAGGAGCGGAGCCGCTGCAAGGCCAGGCTGTGCCTGGGTGCAAGGCAGTTTGCAAAGCGCCTCTTGGACCGAAGCGCATCCAGCTCTTGGGGGCAGCAGCAGCTCCCAGCAAAGCGGCACGGAGCTGTCTGGCCATGGTGTGTCCTTGCCACCAGCACCCATTGGGGACAGGGACCTGCCAAGCAGCATGCAGCCAGCCACGGCTGTGCTGCTCCCAATGAGCCCAAGGGCACCGCCTGGGCTGGGATGCTGTGTGTGGATAAGGATGGGCTATAAAACAAGTTCGTTATTGCTCATCTCGATACTGCAACCACGTCCTGTTTGAACTCTCGCCTGCCGGGAGCCTCCGTGGATCAGTGCTGGCCACCTCCCTGCGGTGACTTTCTCTTCCTTGAACGTGCCTCAAGCTTAACCTGCCTTTCCCTTCCCTCCCTGGCGCAGAATGGCATCGTTCACAGGGACCTGAAGCTGGAGAACATCCTCCTCGATGCAAACGGGAACATCAAGGTGAGGGCTTTGGGCTGCTAGAGCCATCGTGGCTTATCTGAGCGCCGATAAGAGGGCAAAGTCCGAGCGCAGTGTCCCACACGTGACAGGTTGGAGAGGGAAGTCAGAATCCCTTTCCCGAGGGGAATTCCCATTCTCCAAGCTCAGGCAGGAGGCGCGGGGATGCTCGCGGTGCGGGTGGAGCAGGGTGGTCGGGCACGAGGCCCAACGCGTGTACTCCGGTGCCCTGGCTGCTCGGTTACAGCCATAAACCTCTCTCTAGATCGCAGACTTCGGCCTCTCCAACGTTTACCAGCAGGACCGGCTCCTGCAGACGTTCTGCGGCAGCCCGCTCTACGCCTCCCCCGAGATCATCAACGGGAGGCCCTACAAGGGCCCCGAGGTGGGTTCCCCCCGGCTTGTGCGATGTGGGGCAGGGGCCGCGCGGCAGTGAGCTCTGGGTGCATCCTCCTCCCCTGCTGCCCGTCCTCATCCTCCTCCCCTCCGCGCAGGTGGACAGCTGGTCCCTGGGCGTCCTCCTCTACATCCTGGTCCATGGCACGATGCCGTTTGACGGTCAGGACTACAAGACGCTGGTCAAGCAGATCACAAGCGGGGACTACCGGGAGCCCACGAAGCTGTCGGGTAGGTCGAGTCCCGCGGTCCTGCGGCTCTCCCTTCCCTGTCCAACTCCATTGGCACTCACCAGCCTCTCCCACAGATGCCTGTGGGCTCATCCGCTGGATGCTGATGGTGAACCCGGCGCGTCGTGCCACCATCGAGGACATCGCCACGCACTGGTGGGTGAACTGGGGCTACAAGGTGCCCATCGGGGAGCAGGAGACGCAGCGGGAGAGCGAGTCGCCGCCGAGGGGCTGCGCGTCTCGTCCCGGCCCCTCGTGGAGAACGGCTCCAAGGTGCGCTGCTTCTTCAAGCAGCACCTGCCCGCGGCCGGCGGCGCCCTCGAGAGGCAGCGATCCCTCAAGAAGTCCAAGAAGGAGAACGACGTCTCCCAGGCGCTGCAGGAGCCCGGCCCGGAGAACCCCGCCAAGTCCATCCTCAAGAGGCCCAAGGGCATCCTCAAGAAGAAGAACTCGGGCGAGCAGAAGGTGCCCGGTGCTGGCCCTCCGCACGCGGCGGCTGCTGAGGAGGGTGACGCGGCCCTGAGCCGTGTCCTCGCGCACAGCAGTGTGGT